GGTAAGGTCCTTGTCTATGACAGGTGGTGTATTTATGTGTAAGGTCCTTGTCTATGACAGGTGGTGTATTTGTGTGTAAGGTCCTAGTCTGTGACCGGTGGTGTATTTATGTGTAAGGTCCTTGTCTATGACAGGTGTTGTATTTTTATGTAAGGTCATGTTTTATGACAGGTGGTGTATCTATGTGTAAGGTCCTAGTCTATGAGAGATGGTGTTTTCGTGTGTAAGGTCGTAGTTTATGACAGATAGTAAGGTCCTAGTCAATGACAGGTGGTGTATTCGTGTGTAAGGTCATAGTCTTTCACAGATGTTGTATTTGTATGTAAGGCTATAGTCTATGACAGGTGTTGTATTTATGTGTAATAAACTTCAAAATAGCAATGCTGTTATAAAAATAACAGTACTATGTAGGAGTCAAAAATGACTTGCCGGCGTTCTATAGTTCCAATCCAGCTGAACAATTCTATACCAGATGTTATGTCCTTAACTGTTTTATTATGTGGTTATATAACTTATGTTTACAATGTGTGTCTTCATATTTTGTTTTGCGGTCAACTTGTAAATAAAATGTAACACGTTGAGAGTTAACATGTGACAGGTGCTGTGTTTTGTGCCTTTTAAGGGTGTCTTGTTTTATTAGAGGTACATTATTCTTTAGTTTTTGCACGAGTTCGGTCTTGTTTGGGAAATGTCTTGTATTGTGATGATTTTAACGGGATCGATGTTGAAAGTTATTGTTTTGTTTTGTAATTATTAAACGAAATTGGTATTGTGAGTTAGTGTTTTGTTATGTGATCATTTTAACGAAATAAGTATTATGAGTTAATATTTGTTTTGTATTCATTTTTAAAGAAATGGGTACTGTAAGTCAGTGTTTAGTTATGTAATTATTTTAACGAAATAGGTATTGTGAGTTAGTGTTTTGTTATGTGATTATTACAACTTGATCGGTAATTTTGGGTTAGTGTTTGTTTAGTGATATTTTAATGAGATTGGTACTGTTACTTAGTGTTCTGCTTTGTGGTTAAGCTAACAGGGCGTGTAAGGTTGTATTTTCTGTGATAAGTCTCGTGGTTAAGCTTACAGGGCGTGGGAGGTTGTATTTTTTGTGATAAGTCTTGTGGTTAAGATAACAGGGCGTGTAAGGTTTTATTTTATGTGATAAGTCTTTTGGTTCTGGGATTAGTTTTGTGGTTAAGGTAACAGGGCGGGGAAGGTTGTATTTTCTGGGATAAGTCTTGTGGTTAAGCAAACAGGGCGTGTAAGGTTGTAGTTTCTGTGATAAGTCTTGTTGTTAAGCTAACAGGCCGTGTACGGTTGTATTTTCTGTGATAAGTCTTTTGGTTAAGCTAACAGGGCGTGGAAGGGTGGATGGTCTGTGATAAGTCTTGTGGTTAAGCAAACAGGGCGTGTAAGGTTGGATGTTCTGTGATAAGTCTTGTGGTTAAGCTAACAGGGCGTGTAAGGTTTTATTTTCTGTGATAAGTCTTTTGGTTCTGGGATTAGTTTTGTGGTTAAGGTAACAGGGCGTATCAGGTTGTGTTTTCTGTGATAAGTTTTCTGGTTAAGCTTCAGTAACAGGGCGTATCAGGTTGTGTTTTCTGTGATAAGTTTTATGGTTAAGCTAACAATGCGTGTCATTTTGTGTTATCTTTGATTTGTTTTGTGGTTATGTATATACAATGTGCATTGTACATGCAACTCTTCGGATATAAACAAATTCTCACTTAACTATCTTTTTTATTTTAAAGAATATTCCCTAGGCACAGGTCTTAAAATGGCTTCCACTGTTGATTGATGTTCAACCCAAAATATTGGTACCACAGGGTGGTAATTGCAACAGGTATGTTTATGGTTAGGTTTATCACTCCGATAGGCAGCATTGGTTTACGTTATTGGCACGCCACAATGCAATATAAATTGGTCTATCACTAATTGACCAGACGTGTCCATACATGGTATGTAATCTATCAACAACGTTGTTCTATGTACTATCAACACATTATAAAAAATACACGCACGCAGCCAAGTATCTAACCAGACGTATTGTCAGGTGTCGGAGATAAGACATATATTGCATGTCACGACTGAATCGAAATAACCTTGTCTGGTCGAATCGTAACAAACAGAGATATACCCTTTGAACAAAATGCAAAGTTAAGCTTAAAGTACAATTAATGTTAATTCATTCCAGACAAATTCACTGTTCGTGATATTTCAAATAAATTAGTATAGCTAATATTTATAAATCAGAGGAAATGCTACCTGAGAGAGAGAGAACAAATAAAGAATTGTATCACAAATTTTTTTTTAGGTTGTCAGAATTTTAAAGATTTTATATGGAAATTTATGTAAAAAGGAGTGAAAAAAAATGAAAGACACAATATTTTTACAAAATAACGTCAATAAAAATGATACTGACATAGATTAGTATTGCATTAATGTATATCAATTTAATAAATGCTGAAATTGTGTAAAATTTATCCTCTATATACGATATAAAAATTGACATTTTATAATAAAACCATATACACATAGTAATTGCAAGCAAGAGTTATCGTTCTTGAAAAACTTCACAGTAGTGAAATAGGTAGCCGGTTTCCTGAAGTACAGGAAAATGGACGCATGTGACTCATTGATAAAAAAACCACCTGAATTAATACCTGGATTGCTTTGAAATACTTTAATATTGAGAGAACACAATGTTCTGTCAATAATAAACATACAATATTCATCAGTTTAATATTAAACATTAGATTTTGCGGAAATTGTGATACTGTCTCCCTACATTGAATTTTCAACTAGGGATGTACTTCCTGTTTCCGTTTATCAATACAATCCAATGACCTTAATTAAGCCGACTTTAGATGTCTCTCCACCTAAATGAAAAAACAAAACCAAATGATTCCGCCTTATCACAATATTCGGACAACCACTGCAGGTTCGGGAAAAGAATAAGCAATAATTAAAAAGAGTGTACGTCCGTCTTCTGCTGGAACCAGCTAATCATCAAACAGATACAATTGTAACACCAAAGTCCTCTTATCGTATGGACACGACAATGGGACTAGGAATCACATGTTATGGTGTGTACACGGCAATGGGACTAGGAATCACATGTTATGGTGAGTACACGGCAATGGGAACCAGGATGCACATGTTATGGTGTGTAAACGGCAATGGGGACCAGGATGCACATGTTATGGTGTGTAAACGGCAATGGAGATCAGGATGCACATGTTATGGTGTGTACACGGCAATGGGAACCAGGATGCACATGTAATGGTGTGTACACGACAATGGGACTAGGAATCACATGTTATGGTGTGTACACGACAATGGGAACCAGGAAGCACATGTTATGGTGGGTACATGGCAATGGGAACCAGGAAGCACATCTTATGGTGTGTACACGACAATGGGACTAGGAATCACATGTTATGTTGTGTACACGACAATGGGAACCAGGAAGCACATGTTATGGTGTGTACACGACAATGGGAACCAGGAATCACATGTTATGGTGTGTACACGGCAATGGGAACCAGAAAGCACATGTTATGGTGTGTACACGACAATGGGAACCAGGAATCACATGTTATGGTGTGTACATGGCAATGGGAACCAGAAAGCACATGTTATGGTGTGTACATGGCAATGGGAACCAGGAAGCACATGTTATGGTGTGTACATGGCAATGGGAACCAGGAATCACATGTTATGGTGTGTACACGACAATGGGACTAGGAATCACATGTTATGGTGAGTACACGACAATGGGAACCAGGAAGCACATCTTATGGTGTGTACACGACAATGGGACTAGGAATCACATGTTATGGTGAGTACACGACAATGGGAACCAGGAAGCACATCTTATGGTGTGTACACGACAATGGGACTAGGAATCACATGTTATGGTGAGTACACGACAATGGGAACCAGGAAGCACATCTTATGGTGTGTACACGACAATGGGACTAGGAATCACATGTTATGGTGAGTACACGACAATGGGAACCAGGAAGCACATCTTATGGTGTGTACACGACAATGGGACTAGGAATCACATGTTATGGTGAGTACACGACAATGGGAACCAGGAAGCACATCTTATGGTGTGTACACGACAATGGGACTAGGAATCACATGTTATGGTGAGTACACGACAATGGGAACCAGGAAGCACATCTTATGGTGTGTACACGACAATGGGACTAGGAATCACATGTTATGGTGAGTACACGACAATGGGAACCAGGAAGCACATCTTATGGTGTGTACACGACAATGGGACTAGGAATCACATGTTATGGTGAGTACACGACAATGGGAACCAGGAAGCACATCTTATGGTGTGTACACGACAATGGGACTAGGAATCACATGTTATGGTGAGTACACGACAATGGGAACCAGGAAGCACATCTTATGGTGTGTACACGACAATGGGACTAGGAATCACATGTTATGGTGAGTACACGACAATGGGAACCAGGAAGCACATCTTATGGTGTGTACACGACAATGGGACTAGGAATCACATGTTATGGTGAGTACACGACAATGGGACTAGGAATCACATGTTATGGTGAGTACACGACAATGGGAACCAGGAATCACATGTTATGGTGTGTACACGACAATGGGACTAGGAATCACATGTTATGGTGAGTACACGACAATGGGAACCAGGAAGCACATCTTATGGTGTGTACACGACAATGGGACTAGGAATCACATGTTATGGTGAGTACACGACAATTGGACTAGGAATCACATGTTATGGTGAGTACACGGCAATGGGAACCAGGAATCACATGTTATGGTGTGTACACGACAATGGGACTAGGAATCACATGTTATGGTGAGTACACGACAATGGGAACCAGGAAGCACATCTTATGGTGTGTACACGACAATGGGACTAGGAATCACATGTTATGGTGAGTACACGACAATTGGACTAGGAATCACATGTTATGGTGAGTACACGGCAATGGGAACCAGGAATCACATGTTATGGTGTGTACACGACAATGGGACTAGGAATCACATGTTATGGTGAGTACACGACAATGGGAACCAGGAAGCACATCTTATGGTGTGTACACGACAATGGGACTAGGAATCACATGTTATGGTGAGTACACGACAATTGGACTAGGAATCACATGTTATGGTGAGTACACGGCAATGGGAACCAGGAATCACATGTTATGGTGTGTACACGACAATGGGACTAGGAATCACATGTTATGGTGAGTACATGGCAATGGGAACCAGGAATCACATGTTATGGTGTGTACACGACATTGGGACTAGGAATCACATTTTATGGTGTGTACACCAATAGAACAGTAAGGAAAGGCTAAAGGTTGCTTTACCATGATACACTGATTTCGCGGTAACCTTATTCTTTGCGAGAAATACATCCCGCGAAATTAATCCAGAGTTACTGAAAAGTTACATTTTTGGTTACGTGAGCGCTGTGCTTACATTTATATGTATATAAATAAATACGAACAAAAACAATATTTTCTTACTCTCTTACTTAAGTTGCATCCCGTCGACTCTGGCGATGGAATATCTTAGGTCATCATGCGACCTGTGGTCACTGAGCTGCTTCACGTGACTAACTAGGCATGGTTGGTTGGTTGGTTGTAGAGGGTTTAACGTTCTTTCAACAGCTATGGTCATTTCAGGACGTGTCTCCATGTGTGTTTTGCGTGCTTGCGTGCATGAGTGTATTTGTGCCGGAAACAGGGTGTGTTGGTATACCTGTCTCCTTGCGATAGCGCGGATCTGATGTCGACTTTGAAGTTATATCTTACTGAAATACTTCCAACTATTGCTTAAGATCAGGAAAGCTATAGGGATTATCTCCCCTTGCATGTAGCCGTGTTCTTTTGGCGTACGCGTACGTGACAAATTGACATATTGAGTGCTGTCCTCTGTTTCAACCTCCTTTCAAACACTCAATTTCAAACACAAGGGAAGAAGAAGGTTGAGTGATGAGTTTGCTCCTTTATTTGTTATAAATTCATGGTAGAATTCGATTGAAACAAAATTTTGTAATACAATTAGGTTGTGGTGGTCGACTTCTCTAGTTTCGTTCTAGGTTTGGAATAAATATGATGACTGGACGTTATTTTCAAGGCGGGTGATTACCCAATCCTCAATCTATTGTATCTAAAGATTACTATTGATTGATCGAAGCTTTGATTGCGGCATTTATATACAGCGAAAGTATGATATATATTTTAACATTTTTTTCTTTCCACCGTGACCGAGTTGTCAATGTTACAACAGGCTAAGCCCTTATTAGTTTTCTTCAACCGTCAAAATGTTATTTGCAAATAAATATTTTGCAGAAAGTACTGTAGCATGTATCCATATATATTACTTAGCTATCACAGGGGTCTGTGGCGTTGATATTTCTGTCTCCTGTGTTACATAGCTATCACAGGGGACTGTTGCGTTAATAATTTTCCTCTGTTACATATTATCACAGGGGACTAGCGTAAATATTGTTCTCCTCTGTCACATGGCTATCACAGGGGAATGTTGCATTACTATTTCTCCTGTTACATAGTATCACAGGGGACTGTAGCGTTTATATTTTTTCTCTCCTGGGTTACATAGCTATCACAGGGGACTGTAGCGTTTGTATTTTTTCTCTCCTGGGTTCCATAGCTATCACAGGGGACTGTAGCGTTAATATTTTTCTCTCCTGGGTTACATAGCTAACATAGTCATCTGAAGTTAAAATTTCATATATAAGTTGTTAATTTTTAATTTTCCATGGAGTTGTCGATTCAATTAACGACATGAAAACCCCTAATTAGGTGTCTTTAACCGCTAAGGAGTTATCTATGAATAGATAATTATCTCTGTTACTTATAAAAAGTCTTGGAAGCAAAAATGGGAAACTAATATAGTTTAATTTCTGAGTGTTTTCGAGATGCAAAAGGCTAAACAGAAGAGGTAGAATGTCCCCAACCAGAGTGAGGCTCCGCTGGCAGTAGTAGAGGAGGCACCTGCACATGTACAATGTACATAATACCAGGAAAAGGGGGAGACCCGAGCCGGACACTACAAAGAGGGTGAATCAGTTAGAGGCAAATGATCAGGAGGAAATTTCTTAAGAATCGAGTATTGAGCCAGATGTTAGGCCCATACAAAGTGTCCATGCCCTTTTGGGGGGTAACAGTCCTGACACACGTAAACAGAAAATCGTTTCTGGTCAGTTCATCGACCTGACTTCCTTACTACAGAATAATGTTACTAGTTTAAAGAACAGAAGATACTCATTAACAAAAATGGAGAGCTGTGCATGAAACCTAAAATACAGGATAAGATCTATACCATTGAGATTCCATCAAAAATTGGATCTTGAAAATAACATTCGTTTAGGAGCGGCTAAGTCGGCGGGCTGGAGGCTATATGATGAGCAGTATAGGCTAAAAAAGGGGATGGAACCTGAGAGCTCCTGAGCGGAGATTGATAGCGAGTTGTGGCTTATATACATGGACGGTCACAGCAATACATCTGTAGACAAACAGGGGTATCCAGCATATAGTTCAGATACAGGATAGCTCGGTGTCTCCCAATTAAAATAGACTTTTACTAAAATATAAAGCTCACTCTAAAAAAGAACAGGGGGCAAGGGCACAATACTGGAGATTCCCCAGACAGGAGGGTTTTTGTGTCTGGTTAGGCATGAGGGTAGAATTTTGGAAATGCGTCTAAATTTTGACGGCCCATTAATGTGACATTTTGGAGGTAAGCCCTTGACCCGTTATTAATTCCATTCGGTTTTACAACAACCCTTAACTGTTTTAGGAGTAGGTGCAAAGCGCTACAAATCACACTCTTTTCCTAATTGGGGCAGCTGGAATTCCAGACTCGGAAATCAAAAGTGCTGGGAGGTGGAAGTCTTGAGTCATTCAAGTCGTACATTAGGTTAATGAAAGTTTAGCAATGTCTGGGGGGCTCTTCCAGTTTACATCCTGACATATCCAGACATATTTGTGACTTGTTTGCTGATGATGAAGTACATTTATCGGAGATAGGCCAGAATAGTTTTCTTTATGGGTTACAGGGTGGAATTGAATTTCCTCTTTCAATGGGTAAGGGGGTAGTTTTTCCCCCCGGCGTATGCGAAAAGTGGTCATAAAATTGGATCCATGTATAATGCTGTTTTTGTGGGATACCATTTGCGGTAGCCCGAAATGTTATGTTGAGAGCCATTGGCTCGAATTGTTTTCCCCCGCTGCCTTCCCCCGCTTTGTGGCGGATGTGTGGCCATTTTGGCGTTGCGCGGCAAAAAACTTTGGGAGTGATAATTTAGGTAATTACTATGCACTCGACCTTCGTTTTCGGGGTCAGGTGTAAAACGTCATTTCAGTAAAGTTGTATTGACAATTGACTTTACAGTAACCAAAAGGAATATAAAAAGTTAAATGTACATGGAGAAATTGGCTCCATGTAAGATATGTTTTTAGGGTATCATTTGCGGTAGCCCAAAACTATTCAGAGCAATTGGCTCATATGGTTTGTAACCAAATTTGATAATAAAGCCGTGACTACTTACGCCAAACAATAATTAAATAAATTCTAATTCAAAATTTGTTTGAATAGTTGTGTTCTTTTTTACCATAACATGCTGAAGGCATCCAGCATAGCATTCCGCCAAGTCACATTATACTGACCACGGGTGAACCAGTGGTTGCCAATACACTAAATGGTATGTCCCGGCCTTGTGACAGAACCCAGACGAACGCTCAACACTAAAGTCAAATATGAGGTATTGAAAAGTAAGGCCATGCCGATATTCAAACAAAAAATCTCTGTTGGCATCTCGACATTTTTATAGGAACCAACAAACATTATTTTATAAGTAAACATTGGTACTGGACTATAACCCTTTCCCTAATCACGGGAACACTTTTCTTTTCAAAAGAATATTCACGGGACGAAAACGTTCTATACACCAAGCCAGACTTCTGACAGGACGTATTATGGAATGGGGAGCGTCCGTCTGTCCATCAGTACACAGGTTAACGCAAGATAACTTGCTTAAATTTATTCGATTTTAAATGAAATTTGGTATGTATGTAAAATATATGAAGACTGAAGACATCAATCAAATCTCAATTACGAAATTATGTAAATACAGCAGGTGTGTTGTTTCCGCGAACCTGAAGGGGTACACTCGTGTTGTCGAAAGTGAAACAGTGAAATTTGTAGAAGAAGCAGAACAATTTCCAGTTATAAATGATGTATACTCTGTTTGTTACTTTTATACCACAACCCTGAGCCAAAGTAGTAAATATTAACAAGTAACTTGTGACAACGTAGCTGCACCAGATATTAAATATCACTGATAACGGTACAGCTTGAAGATCCGATTACTCCCGTCCTTCTTAAGGCTTGTAAGTCAAGGAAATACACACTGTCTGTGGCAGCTGTTACAAAGATCGATGACAATGTGAGTAGATGTATGTATACATGTATACTACCTTTTATATATCGTTTCGTATACACGACTTATAGGTATAAGAATACTTTAAGTCAACAATGAAAGCTGATAGCTGGAACTTTCATGTTATACATTTGATTAAGGTCATATGAGTGTATTGATAAACGGAAATAGGAAGAACATCCCTAGTTGAAAATCCAATGTAGGGAGACAATATCACAATTTCCGCATATTCTAATGTTTAATATTTCTACCAATTTCATTACTTTGGGACATTGTTTATATGTCTACCGCCAGTGATTAGCTAAAAATTAGCATCAATTTTTAATTTATCTATTCTTAAATATATGTCAGGGAAAGGGAAGAAGGGGGATAACTCCCATACTGAAATCGTACTTGATTGTACGCAGACCTTAATTATAAAGTAGTGTCAATATTTGTGTAACGAAACCTTTGGTCCTTTTGGAATGATACTACATTTTCAGATGGAGGGTTGTTCAAATCGCCATTAACTGTTCATAGATACAGTTGATATCACAAAATTTCTTACCTACATAAAAGTGTTCGTCTGGTCAAAAACATATAACTGACCACAGCAACGTTACCTTTTTAAGTTGACGTTCGTCTTTTACCATTGCGTCTGTTTGATATCATTTCCATTAACATGTTTTATTTACCTTTGATTGACCCTAAATATCTCTTATGTGATGATGGGCCGTGTATTATGATAATTCAAATAAAAATCACATTCACAACATCAGATGCAAAAGTGTTATTTATTGAAAGTTAGAAATAGTATCATAGTGTACATATATAGACAAAGTATAAAAGGTTGTGAACTACAGTTAAGGAACGGGGAGAGCTGTAATACATAAGCGATTTTATTGAAATCTTCAGTGGTTTTACCTAGGTACATATGGTATGTATACATATAGGTTTGAAGTTTAAGGTAATGTCTATTACGAGGCATTATTTCAGATTCCAGAGGTTGACGTCGATACCTTCCAGATCAGAACAGGGCTCCAAATCGGTAATTCTGTAATGGAATGGAAAACAAACAAAATCAGTAAACAAGTGCGAAAACACTGTTGATTCGAGTGTAGTGCACGAATATTTAACAATAATTTTTTTTATGTTTTCCCTTTGGAAATCATCAGTTGTTTATTTTGTTTCTACGTAGCATAAAATTTATGCTAGATAAAAAAGATAATTGTCCGTACACTCAGAGACATATAAAGCTGGTACACTAATGAAAATATCCATAACTACATGTATCAAGCTACACTGATGACGCTTGACCTTTTACACTATAGCTCAATCGTCATTAGCTGTCACGTTATACGTTTAGCTATTCAAGTCCGTACATACCTTCAGTAGAAACAACTATCGCTTAAACTGTATGACATTTCCAGTTTGTAAACTTGCATTCAACAGCCATGAATATATATATTCAAGTGTTTTATTCAATAATTACTAAGACCTATAAATATTTACCCAAAATGGTTTCATGCAGTTAACTATTAGACAATTATATGATAAGGGCATTAGAGCAATGTATGGTTCTATTGCTAAATGCAGAGACCATAATCTTTCAATTGAATGTAAATAAGATATTTTCAATAAAGCTATCAAGCCTGTCATGGTGTATGGTTGTGAAGTCTGGGGGTTTTGTGATTACAAACTTTTAGAACGTTTACATTTGAAATTCTGCAAACATATTCTTCGGGTGAAAACATCGACACCAAATTTCAAGATTTATGGGGAATTAGGAAGTTTTCCTCTGAGTATGATAGGATTTTGGACCAAATTGTTAGAACCAACACCTAATAAGTTAAGTAATAAAATTCATACAATTATTATAAACGAAAATACTCAATGGTCGAATTGTTTTAAAAATATCCTTGATGAATGCAATTTAATACATATATTTGAAAGTCAAGAATTCTGAAGTACCCAATGGTTGAAAAATACAGTTTTCCATACACTCAAAGATAAATCCATTAATAATTGGAGAAGCGAAGTTTTCAATTCACCTAAAGGGACCAATTACAGAATTTTTGGAAATGACTTAGTATTAGAAAAATACCTGCTAGATCTCCCTCCAAGACTAGCAAATGTTTTTTGTAAAAGAATTTGTTATGTTAAATTTCCTATTGAATGTGGTAGATGGAATAGCATTCCAAGAGAAGATAGAAAATGCATTTTTTGTGACCTAAATGAAATTGGAGACGAATAACATTATTTATTCAATTGTAATGACCACCAGATACTGCAAAACACAAGAAAATTTATGTCGAGATATTTTTTTGAAAGTCCTAGTACTTTCAAGTTAATACATTATCTAATTATGTCAATAATGAAGAATTAATTGCACTTATAAAATTCCTTAAGCACATAATTGAGCGAATTAACACTGTCCATTAACACCATGATTTATATGTAAACTGTACTATATATATGTACATAATTATCTACACGGTAACCAGTTTGCGAGAACAAAAACTTGTAATTGTCATTTTGTGATTTTCGTTTGTTAATAAAGTATGGAAATTAGAACTTTATCTAAAAAAAATGTGTATGATTTTGTCTTAGTTATTTCATATTTCACAGAAGAATTTGTCTGAAATCCTTTGCACATGGGATTTGTATTCTTTATAGCTTCTTAGTTGAAGATGTTTTGTAATTAATACTTACTTTGGAATTCTGAAAATATTTTCCTGAATATCTTTTAATCCGAAAACTTCACAGAAAATCTTTGACAATCGAACGTTTTGGATATTTTCTAACTGGGCTGTAAAGAAATGAAAACATGAACATTAAAGACAGAGTAATATTTGTAAAGTCACATCGTGGAGTCAATAGATAATCAGATGACAATTATTCCGCCTATTGACAACTCATTTTCATTTTCATCATGATCACCGTCATCATTTTTTCCCTAAAATTAGAGATACAATTTTCATCGAAATAAAATTAAATAACAAATTAAAGAAAGCCAGCATTATTGAGACTGAGCTTAATGTTTTTACATGGATTACGTTACATTGCAACCAACACGAGATATTTTCATATTGTTATCTTCAGCTGTTTATAACTGCTTAAAAATAAAGACAAATTACCACAAGTTCGTTAAGTCCTCCAGTTACACATTAATGTCAAAAATAACAATAATATAGCTGTTGCTATCATTGAGTGGTAAAAGAGTAATATTTATGTACAAATGTACACATTCTTTTACAAAACGGCAGGTTCGAGGAAAGAATAGGCCTGCGATATTCCACGGCATGCTCGTTAGAGGCGACACCCCCTTCCTGCAGAATCGGGGATGGTTTCTGTCTTATCGTCTATGTATTGGATGTATGACAATGGCTGTTTGGAGGACGTTTAACACCAGACAAACATTAACAATCGAGCGGCTATTATAGTGGCGAGAAAAATTACAAGTGTTAATATTAATAAGCGAAGATGTCCGTGACGTTGCATATAGTCTTTGAGGGCAATTTTAAGATGTTTTCAAAGGAGAAAAAATATTAAAAGAATTTACCAAACATTTTTTAAAAGTAAAGGTACTTATTATAGCAGTAAATATAGGATCGGTTTTATGTTTTTAGTCTTACAGGAATCTTAATATCATTCATCAATACATTTTCCATATATCTAATACGTAAACAATGACTGGAGACTTGTTAGGTTAATGACTAAGGTGACTGTAGCGTAGTTATACCTGGACTGAATCCTTCCGGTCCGTTGCGCTCATACCAGTAACGATCACCTTCTTTCAGCGCCTTGAACTGTAACGCCAGCAGACAGGAGAATGTGTTACCTATGTTAGCATCGTCTGCGGAATTCTTCTCGGACATAGCACCGGCAAAAAGGTCGATGTCATCAACATGGCTAAATTGAAAGGAAACATTGATAGAAATATGAACAGTCCCACCGGCAAACAGGTCGATGTCATCAGCATGGCTAAACAATGTAAGTTAACATTAATAGAAATATGTATGGTCCCATCGGCAAACAGGTCGATGTCATCAACATGGCTAAATAATGTAAGTAAACATTGATAGAAATATGTACGGTCTCACCGACAAACAGGTCGATGTCATCAACATGGCTAAATCCGAAAATTAACATTGATAGAAATATGCACGGTCCCTTGGGCAAACAAGTCATTATCATCAACATGGCTAAAAACGTAAGGAAACATCGATAGAAATATGAACAGTCCAACCTGCAAACAGATCGATGTCATCAACATGGCTAATCAATGTTAGTTAGCATTGATAGAAATATGTATGGTCCCAACGGCAAACAGGTCAATTTCATCAACATGGCTAAACCCGAAAGTTAACATTGATAGAAATATGTATGGTCCCACCGACAAACAGGTCGATGTCATCAACATGGCTAAACCCGAAAGTTAACATTGATAGAAATATGTTTGGTCCCACCGAGAAACAGGTCAATGTCATCGACATGGTTTAAAATGTAAGTAAACATTGATAGAAATATGTACGGTCTCACCGACAATCAGGTCAATGTCACCAACATGGTTTAAAATGTAAGTAAACATTGATAGAAATATGTACGGTCTCACCGACAATCAGGTCAATGTCACCAACATGGTTTAAAATGTAAGTAAACATTGATAGAAATATGTACGGTCTCACCGACAATCAGGTCAATGTCACCAACATGGTTTAAAATGTAAGTAAACATTGATAGAAATATGTACGGTCTCACCGACAATCAGGTCAATGTCACCAACATGGTTTAAAATGTAAGTAAACATTGATAGAAATATGTACGGTCTCACCGACAATCAGGTCAATGTCACCAACATGGTTTAAAATGTAAGTAAACATTGATAGAAATATGTTCGGTCTCGCCGACAAACAGGTCGATGTCATCAACATGGCTAAATCCGAAAATTAACATTGATAGAAATATGCACGGTCCCTTGGGCAAACAAGTCATTATCATCAACATGGCTAAAAACGTAAGGAAACATTGATAGAAATATGAACAGTCCAACCGGCAAACAGGTCAATGTCTTAAAGTTAGACAACTTCCTTTCGATCATGTCTTTTCCTCTCCTTTCAATTTATCCTGCGTATATGTCAAGGTTACACTCTGAGTAAGAAGCTTTCTATGACATGTTTATGTTAAGAAGAAACTGTTAAAGTCAAATAAAGACGATACAGTTACAGTATAACGTAAGCATGACTCTGATATTGACATTATTGTCTCAAAAATGTTCCATCTTTCATTCTAAAACCATTTTTTTTCTCTTAATGAATATGAGATTTATATTCATTGCAATATACGTATTAAAAGCAAATGAAGCAAGGAATATTTAGGACTGGCAATCAGCAGAAAAGGACTAGCTATCGAGAAATCCTATCGGCAACATTGTCATGAAATGCTATTACATTTTTTTTAAGCAACATGATTACAGATGTTAGCCTAAAGTTAGGGTGTGAGCACACTTTAAAAAAAAGAAAAATGATAAAACTATGGGGTTTGCTCTCAGACAGATATATATGTATATAAATATTATAAGTCATTGAATGCGTGATTCAATAGTATGATGTTGAGACAATTAATAGAATAGTAAACTAAACAATCCACTTATAACTTAAACTTAATTTACTTCCCCATCTTTTACCTAATGCTTACAAATAATTGATATAATAATACTCGGCTTTGAGTAATTATAACGAATGTGAAGACAAGCTCACTGATATATTTTACTTGACAGAGACATGGATACAGACGGACACTTTTAATCTTTACTTTGACTAAATCTCGGTGTCAAAGGTACCTACTCATAAGCTGTCTCCAGTTTCTTTTTGAGCAGGTCGATATGGTCTTCCAGGTCATCGAAGTCTTTAGGAATACTTAAATTACATAGCTTTCTGTATTTTGTGTAACTTGGCAGTCCGTGCTCTCGGCCTCTCTGTATGTTAAGTGCAGCAAGGTCAAGGCCATTGAACAATCTATCCTGTACTGCTTCAACCATAAATCTGAAATAAATATCAGAAGAATAAATAAAAATGTAATCCCCAAAACGATTAAATTATGAAGTAAATTAGCGCAAGACACGCAAATGATTGCACGTACAAAGTTTCGTTCCTGTATCTGATTTTGAAATCGGTATTTCTTCAAAATTGTCTCGATATTTCATTGTTTAAGTGTAGTTTCTCATTTCATATTTTTACTATATAAAGTTACTTTTAATATTAACATCTATATGTTATTGCAAATTTATTAACAAATCGCTTTGACTAAATTACAAATCTGTATGACCTCGTTATAGAATTTAAATGCTGTATAAGTTGGCGATAAGACAAATGTGTTGTTTTCTTAATTATCATTTCTTCAATAATGATGACAATGGTAACTGAGAATGCATTTGATCAAGTTTACGTACGGGTCAGTCTTCTTGCATGGGAAGGTAGATATCCATCGGACCAGCTGCGGCACTTGCTCGAAGAGGAGGTCTGGTTTGAAGAAGACATTTTCCAGAGGAAAAGACTGATTTTGCACTTCGAAGCGGTCATTCAGGCGGAGGAGCTCCGTAATAACCATTGAGTGACCGTGCCGCAATGTTGCCGTGCTGAATTCGTTCTGAATGGACGGGTTGGTTCCACGCCTGTAAGACACAATTGCAACCTTTAGTGGTCGTCACAAATGTAATAGTATATAAGGACGGCTTTCTGGTAAATATACAGGATTAGTTTCCTCTTTATCAGACTCCCTTCTATGAATCAGTTTCTGTATTATTGATTACGATTATAAACGTTTCATAAATTTGAAATTTGTACAAAGATTTACGACATTTTGTTGGTTTTGTTGCGTTTGAATTTGATATATTCCTTTTTGTGGATGTCTACTTTTATAGTTCGAGTAGAATAATTTCAAAGACTGGCGTACCCGGGGAAAACCTACCCACGTGACCAAATACCCTTTTAAACCCCGATCGTCTTGGTAAAAGGCGTTTGCACTTTCTACTGCACAACCCGATCAGCATTTGGTTGGCAATCCATGCCTTAAATTATTCACGGGCAGTAAAACAACGTAAAAAAACAAATAATAAAATAGAATAATAAAACAATATGTCTGTTTTAAGATCAATCAGGTGTTGCCAAGTGTATGCAGTGTATCAAAGTCGTTTTTGAAACGGTTTAAATTACTGTCTCACACTTCAGCTTTGTTGACTTATTCCATGCAGTTCACAATATTAAGGTTGGGATGTTTTCCCATTCCTCTGGATTGCAAACTGTTGGAGATATTTTAAGGGCATTTCCCCTGTGCTAGATCGCTGTCATATTTCCTTTTTCCTCTATATGATAGCGTTGGTAAAATAAGGTGTTTTAGAAGATCGAGATATAAAAAGAATTGTTTTTAGTTCAGGGACTAGTTAAGATGACCTCTTTGCATTCTTGATTTTTTAAATTTTTGTTTTGTTTTATTTTATAAGGAAACCAAATACTGCGTGTAAATTCAAGATGGGTTTAAATAATGTTCAAATTTGCTTCCTGTGTTACCGACATTTACGTACGTTAAAGACTTCATTCAATAAACCCTAGTAATAATTAATGAGTTTTCTTCACTAATGTAAAAATATCAGATTTGAGCAAAAAAGAACAAAATGCTGACAGTAAAATTGTAAAACTCTTGAGGTTATCTGTCCTTTCATCAAGCCGCAAGCACGAACAATACACATTTCAAAATATAACTCGGCACATAATAGTTGACATGAATCCTTTACAGATAAACTGCAGAACAGAAAAGGTACTCATGTAATGTTGAACTTCCCCTTTCGGCTGGCTTGGAAGCGTACTCACTTACATTCACTTAGACACAATGAGACATTTATGAACCCTTTATATACCTTTTGTAATAAAATATCTGACAATATTTCAATACAACAGGGAAGAAATACAAATATTATTGTACGATATTACTCAGGAAAATGAAGGTCATTATTTAAGATATTGTACTTAAATTAACAAATTTCTGTCCAAAGTACATGTATATGGAATATGGGCGAAGAGAAACAACACCCATAGTATAATAGCATGTTTTTAAATATGCAATAGTGAAAGTAAAATGACAATGTGTTCTAATAGGACCAAACCTGCTATTAAATCAGTCGTATTCTGTACAAGATTTCGCTCATTTGAGGAAGGCAATGGATTCTTTTCTCAGCTCAGGACATACCAAAATTCTAAAAAATGGTATTTGTTATTTTGTTCTAAACGTCCAGGATTTAGAGTTATGGCAACAACTGGTTCACACGTTGTCAGTATAATGTAACCGGGAGGAATGCTGTCTTGGGTGCCTTCGTCAAGGTATTTCAGTAAGGTAGCAATCTAAAATCGACACCTCATCAGCGCAAACAGGCAAATACACTAACATACATTGCCTCCAGCACATGCACACATACATGAAGACATATCCGTAAATGTCTTCAGCTGTTGATTTTTTAAACTCTTTGTAACCAACAAGTAATCAAGCTACATACTTCATTGTAACAACACATGTATTTTCATTCTACATGTTTTTTGTTTCCATTATAAAAGTTTCTTAAAAAAAAAAGCTTTCATAGCGTACTTGTAAGGGTCCGTTTGGGTCGACAAAAGTTGGTATTTCTTCATGGCATCGGCCCCAATCACGTCAGGTAACCATGCTGAAAAAGTCACGTGTTGTATAATGGCGCCAATTATCTTTCTTGTCATCTGGTATATCTCCTCGTCGGTTAGGCTACTATTCGTGGTGGCAAAACGTTCGGCCAGCTTGTTATGGTAAAGTACGAAGGCAGTATGTAACGATCCAAGGAAGGGGTTCTCGTTCACACGTATGTCACCTAAACCCAAATAATGCAAAATCAAGGTTATATTGATAAGTAGACAGTACTCGAACACAGCAGGTAAAGTGTACATGACGGATGAAAAAAGTACAGGTAGAAAATTACAGGTATAATTTACATAACAGGCAGACAACATTGGGAAGCAATCGGTATAGTGTACGTAACACAGGAAAAAGGGGGGGGGGGGGGTACATAACACACATTTTTACAAGGAAAACAATAGGATACTCTTTGTATTAACATTAACGAGATGCCGTTCTGATGTTAATGTTGTTTTAAAGGATTTCAAATGTACTGGAATCGCTTCTATTGTATGGTATATTGATATTGACACATTTCAAGTGTAATACAACCTGACCTATAATTAACACAGGTACAGGTATAAGCTTGGGTATTTTGTCTAACTTTGGTTATGTATCAGTTGATATTATATTATCTGTTGAATATATTTACACGTGTTGTCCATAACATTTGTTGGAACTGAGTCATGATGAACTTGAACGTACCAGCTAACAGACAGTGAGCTTTCTTTGGAGTATTCAGCACACAAGCAGAGTCATCGTTTTCAGGCAGTACTTTACTACCATTGGCATTCACCGTTCGCATAGCCCCTTTGCAACAAAAAAGTAACTTAGTATCCCGGACGTTACGTATAATATAAAATTATTAACATCGTAGTTTATAGAAATTCTTTTAATCAAATATGTTTATATTACTTTTTTCGACTGTGTCTACTAAGGCATTCGTTTTTATATGACAAATGTGGTTGGGAGGACCTTTTAACCTTAAATCCTTAAACAAAGACTTCACAAATTTGAACTTGTTTCAGGAATGTATAATCTTACCTCCGGACTTAAGCCGAAGACGCTTAGCCAACTTATCTTCAGATCCATACACCGCGGATCCATCTATGAAAGCTGTGACGGCATTGATTTGTTCTCGAACTCCTGAAGTGGAAACAACATAATAACTTAATATTGTTTGAAATCCAAAACAAACAAATATGTGAAAGGAAGCACATGGCTGTAAATAGGGAATCTAAGGTTCAGCGACATCATAGATGCAGAGGCATAAACGTATCAGTTGGAGTTTGACCAGGTCAGAGAGATACCAGCCTGTATATGTCACTCATGAAAGTTAGTAAGTTAATAGTAATAGAATCTTTTATTTAGACAGGGTTACATATTTTGATTTACATCTTATTTAAAATATGGCCCTGTAATGCACAATTTACAATGGGCATTGACATGATACACACAATGACATAAACAGTATATAAATAATAACAATATCACATATGCAGATCTTGACAAGTTAAAGTTAAAGACACAAATTATGTAAAATATGGAGTGAGCTTTCTAAATTGGTCCATAAAATGCTCACATCTATAAAAGATTCTATACTGGATAACTACGTTGTAGTATGCGAGACTGTACCAGTATTACTTTTTCCTGCCACTTAAATATATATTACGTTGGCCATATATGCTTACCTTTTCATTAAGTTTTGTGCATAAATGTACAATGCACTAGGCCCGGTAAACATACTTTTAAATAAAACTATGACTTCCATGCGTGTATAAGGGTGTTACATGTACCTAGACCACATGGGGCCGACATGGTTACTTCACTGTAGGTGATTTACTTGGTCCAGAACACTACTCCACATACACCACGGTAAGAAGAGATGCGTACAAAGTCTGGGTACATAAAGGACCTCAGAAGCTTGTATTGGTTTCTTAGGCTGTCACAAGGTCCTGGGAATATCTAGAACCATACACCCTCTCTCCCAATCCTTCCCGATATGGTTAGCCGGTTATAATGTTTAGAGCCCTACTTGGATTGATACATATAATAATGTTATCTAATTGTATTACATTCCATCAATATAGGATCCTGCATAGGTCGGTAACTATGTTTCAAGGTCTGGGTAATTACCTGGTTTACATGGGTTTTCCCTGGTCGGCAAGGATCGAACTAAGTCCATGCAATCCGTTGTGAAGTGGTGGTCGTTAGGTTCAATTTTAATTGCAAAGCACTGTGTTTCTCTGGAAAACATTGGATAATATGCGTGATTGAATCATGTTTCTTACTCTCTGGGATACAGTGATATTATTTTCGTTTACTTCGAATGTAAAATGTCATGCATAGTTCATCAAATCGGTACAGGAATCAGAGCAAAGATAAAGAGACAGAGAAGAGTGTGGGGGTTGGGGCGGGGCTGTGGAGAGTCATAAATCGTAACGATACAAGTTGCTTACTTATATTCTATAATATTTAAGTAAAGAGACTGTGATTCCTCGTAAGTAAAGAGACTGTGATTTCTCGTACTAAATTTATGTTGGGGTCTTACTCTTGGTTGTTTAGAAACACTACACGATAACACAGGTAACGGTTGGTTTTAACTATAATGGAAACAACGGAAAACGCTGTTGTTCATTTCCAAAGGTAGGTTTCTTCTCCCGTACAATGTATGTCAAAGTGATCAAGAAGATTTATGGAGCATTCATTAGGCCAAGGCCAAGAAACAGTTTTTGTTGGTGGGCCGTTAAGTATTTGTAAATGGCTGTTAACTTTGGAATTCGTTTTAGTTAAAAAAAAATCCTAAATGATTTTCAAAAAGATGTAAAACATAATTAACATAAAATCAATCTGCAAAAAATATCACCGATGAAAGGCTTTCAACAAGGTAGAAAACCAGAGCTAAATCAAATGAACAAACCTCGTGTTTCTTTTCTTCTCTGGCAAAACACAGCAACCAACATTTGAATCTAGCCTCCCTGTAAAGTGTTTTTGAATCTATTAAGATCAAGACATTATTTCTGCTGGCTGCATTGGCACACATCTAGCTATCATATCCAACTGCAGTGCTCGCCGTTTTCAAACTTCAAATGTTTACTTAACGTAGAACAGTAAAAATAGTCTCCCCTCATTTTGTTTCTTGATTTTTTTTTTTGTAAAAAAAATGTATCTAACCTTCATACTTTCTGAAAATTTAATTTACGCTGTTATATTTTTTGTATACACTTTTTTTGTTCCAGTATACAATACCTGTCGATTAATTATGATAATCAACTTTTAATGGAGTGTAATATGGCAATTATTTCCATAATTGGACCTAAACTTAACATTTTTCTATATTTTCAGCATGTTTCATATTTTAAAAAGTAGTTATACACTGCTGTGTGTACTTCTACCTTCACACAATTCGTTTCCTATGGCTGTTCACATTCATTTACCTACCGTGACTCATAGGGGTTTCCGTGATGTCGTGGTCAAGGAATTGACCCCATGCCATTGCCATCACACTCCTGATTGGATCGTTGGGGGTCTGGATGTCAGAAGCGTTACGAAGCACATTTGTTGAAACCGTCCGGGCACTTGGCAAGGGAACACCGTTCACCCCGGTCGTTCTTGGGGAATCCAACTCTGATAGGTGAAAATGCAAAAATTATAAAATATAATAGATATATCAAGAATCTTGCTTAACTTCAAACTTGTGTTCAGATTATTGAAGGGATTCTCTCGAAAAATTCGAACGTCCCTTCACCTTTTATTTAGGCTTTGTTCTGACGCATGTTTTCATATGACTTCTCAACTATTCTTCGTAGTGGATAAGCTATGACTAAGCCAATAGTATACGGGTTAATATCGAGCGGGCCAAAATGTTGAAGTATCACAATAAGATGGATGGCTGGTAATTACTAAACTTCAAATAATGTTTTAATAGACGGCTATAAATACCAATCACTGTTTGGTTTAAGAAGTGTAGGCAATCAGCTGAATTTGTTGTGATGAGCTGGAAATCATTTGTATTAAGTGTGAATACCAAATTACAGATACTAATTCCGGTATAAAAGGAAATGAAAGGAACCACAAGATATACACACCATTATCGTACTCTGCCTGTAAAATGCGAATCTGGGCCGTAAAGGTTACTCCCCAAAGCGGATTATCAATATTATTGCAGCTTCCATTAATCGTCCTGTACTCAGATTTATTAGCGTCAGAGCAACTCAGGTGGCTTATTGGTTCATTATTGTTATCACATTCTCCTTCCTCCTCGCTAAATGCCCTCGTAACGTTTTTATCCTCAAGCAGCCTTTCAAAGGAGGAGTTGAAATTACTGTTGGAGTAAAAACATGAAATCTCGTTTAATATTAATTCAAATATGCAAATAATATTCAAAAGTATCATAAAAATCTGTAATAGGGGTCTTGTACATATTGACTGCACACAAAATGACATTTCTTTTATACAGTGAAGGTAAACACTGTACTGATGTTATATGAAGGACACGATCGGTATTCGAATACAGAACTACCATTATGTATGCACCATCCTTGATATCCAGGGGTTACGCTCACTTTCCTCTCTACATACCTGGAATATGTCATAGCAAAATTGAAGGCACGAACATAGCTGTTTGATTAGTCTCATGTAAAAAAAAACTGACCAAGGATCGAGGATGTGTATGAACATACTGGACGCCTTTCTCCTTCCTTTCTAAGAGTCTCCGTACACGATAACGATGTTCATAAACCTGATCAGGATATCCCCTTTGAAAGAGCAGCAGTGTATGTTTAAAAATGGTTGGGAAGGTCAGAAGGGAACAACCCCAGAACCACCAAACTCTGGACAAGCGCTTTAATTATTTAAAAGCATGTGTGAAATTAGTAGTTCAAATTTAATGTTGGTATACTTTGTTCTTATATATTTTAAATGAGTGATGGTTTCTTGTTTAATGAAATCAACGTGGCCTCAATATTTTCCCTGTGGTAATAGAGAAGTGGCTGGTTCTTCAAATGAGTGCTGTTACAACCTCTGATGGCAGACTGTTCCATATGTCCATGGTACGGTTGAGGAAGGAATGTTTCTTTAAGGCGCGCTCTTTGTTATGCGCCCGCCATAAAAAAAGGGGGGGGGGGGGGGCTATGTGTTGCCCATGTCCCCGTCATGTCCCGTCGCGTCCCGTCCCGTCCCTTGATCAAAGTGGGACGGGACATTCATGTCTTACGAACATTTTCTAGGTTACATAGTTTCAGTTCTACGAACAATGTTTGTTAGGGAAAAGAGATATCGGATATTTCAGCTGTAAAATCAACAATATGGATAAGGGTATAGTGTTAAGTTTAATTGTGATATAAAGGTACCTAATTAAAATCCCAAATATCCTTATGTTATACAAGTAACAAAAAAATGTACGATAGTTTTGTTACATTGTAGGTTTAAGTTGGATTATCTCCCTTTTGTGTCTTATACAAAACAATACAAAAAGGTTTGAGTAGAATTTTCACTTTTGATTTAGTTTTCTCCCTTAGGCCATAGAAACTGTCAGAATAGAGTGGCGCGACTTAAAGGTAGCAGTGTTGCCCCAGAATCGTTTCACGACATGTGTCGAATACTCACTTATCTAAAAGTATTCTTGTAGCAAACAGAGCAATCAAAGTCCTGTTCTCTTCGTGTTCCCCCTCTGAGCCATACTGTAAGTCGTTGAGACCAGCCATCGATGATGCAGTTTCTCCGCCAGGAAGCCTGTCAGTACCTAGGCAGATAATACATTGTCAATGCAGTATGTAAGGGATGGATTATTAGCAAATAATTATATCTAGGTAAACCAAAGATTCTGTGAGAAAATTTAATTAGAAAAGATGTTTCTTGGTTTCACTTTACCATTTTAGGACCCCGCTCGCCTCTGATCTTGTTTTGTTTTTTGCATATCTTCGTATTAAGTGCAACAATTAAAAGAATCAAACCGAAAAAATATCGTTAAAAGGGAATTTAGAAAAATAAAATGTTTCAGAATTTTTTGCACTAGGACAAAGGCAAAATAAACCCTGTACCTTCCCTAAACTTTCCATAACGACACCCATTTTAATATTTCAACCCTGACAAACTTTATCATGGTTCTCTATACCACGCCACAACGGGAAATAGGTGGCATACTAATCCGTCATTATACCGTAGGTGTAGTGTTGCCGTGAACTATCGGGACAAAAGCTATAGAAAATCACGGCGTGGTTATAGTGGCAGAGTCTGCACTTATACTATATATGGTCGCATAACTGTAATAATTGGGACAAGTCTATTGATTTTGTTTCATGCCTAGGTTGACAGCAAATGAAAAAGAAAGCAGGTAGGAAAGAAATAAGACAGGAAATATAGGAAACGAAAAAGGTCGCAAGTGTTGCAAGGGGACAGAAGATCAATGCTGGTCTCTTCCATGTGCCCTTCATAGAAGATATGGAAGAAAAAACCCTATTCTGCAGGGGGCCCACATTAGTCGCATTTTACGATACAAATGCAGTGGGATATGGCGGGTCATTCCTTGATTTCTTCAATGTCTCATGAATAGACAATAAGGGAGGATGAAAGCCTCAGGTCGTGTTGTGAGTTAACTCTTATTTTAATAGCTTTATCATTATCAGTCACCTTTCATTCCTAAGAGACATTTATCATTTTGAGGCAGACCTACCACGGAGCCAACGACGGACATTGAGAGTAGTAAAATCAGGGAACATCTCAAAATTATTTTCATTTCATTTGTATTAAAGATTCCTGTCCGCTGCTTGCGACAAAGCACTAGAGAACGATCTTTTAGTGCTCCTTACCTGCCAGTAACATCCCCTGATTTTCATAACATGTACAACTGATAAACTTCTCTTGGCTGATATCACCTTATGGGGGGGGGGGGGGGGGGGGGGGGTGTCAGTATTTTTTTTTTTTAAATTATGGTTTTTACTGAAAAAATGCATCGGTGCGTGCTAGAGTTGATCGCAGTAGTATAGACATCCGAAAATTCACTCCCTGAAATGATCCCTAGAACAGTCTTCTAANTCCATGAAAGCTGTCGATTTAAAACTAAGGCGAAATTAGCAGATAACTGAATAAATTTCTACTTTTCCTCTTTTTTTTTCTTTTTTTTTTCAGGAGAATAACCAAGAACATGTGTCAATACAGAAACCACTCCTTTTACGCCATCATGTTACTGTTGCGAAGGAAAGTTCATAAACGTTACTTTGTCACGAAGGGGTGCTAATAAACGTCCTTTTATCCAACCACCTCTATACAAAAATGCAAAGGAAAGTGACGAAATTGTGTGGAACAAGTACCTTCAGCTTAACGCTATTATAAAAAAGAGATCGTGTAAGCGTAAAAAAAATCTTTTGTAATATGGAAATATCGTGTCCTAAGAAGTTTGTGGATGGTAAATTTAATCTGCAAATGTGATCCTTGTCACTCTGGTAAAATAACAAATTTCTTCCAACTGATTATTTTGGCTCGGTGAATTTCTTTTAACTCAATCGGCGTCAGAAAATACAACAGACGTCCCGGGTGAGATCCTTAAGGATGTACACCTCTGAGAAGTCAAAAATTTCCTGTATTAAACTTTTTTTCTTATATGGATTTTTGGAAAAAGGAGTTAATGGCATAGTAGAAAATGCAAAAAAAACCACTTGTTCGTGTGCTCATTTTTGTGCTATGATCGGTCAAAGATACCAATTTACCACAACATGTGATTTTAGGTGATTTTTGGGGTTTTGAACATTTGCAGAACAAATTCATACAATTTCTTCCATGTGTGTTATCAGATATGTATAAATGTTTGTAGAATTGTTGAAAATATTATTTTCTTTTAAATTATGGAAGTAAAATTTCTTAATCTTATTGTTTTAACTCCAAAAGCTGATTTTAGTTACCCCTACCCCCTATTTTTTTAATGAAAAAAACTCATTTTTTACCATTTTTTTACAGATTAAACGCTTGATATAAAAAGTTCTGGTATTTACCTCTTTAATATTTCATGAATTGAATAAAAACGTGTTTCTCTCTCCAAAACATCTACAAAAATGGGGGGTCAGTGTGCTTCTTTTTTTGTCCCATTATCATTTGTGTTATTTTTTACCTTTTTCGGGGTCAAAAATCAAAAGTGCTTCAGTCACACTAAATACGTAAAAAAAATATCAATAATGTATAATTTTCCAGTTTGTTGCATATTAATTTTATCATATTGAACATTATAAAGTTGTACAGCAAAAATGAACCTGCTACCATTAAAAATGGCGACACAATGACAATTTAAGTGATCAATCTAGTGCCAAAAAAGGTGAAATTTTGGCCTTTTTTGAAGCACAAGAAATACACATTAATACACATTTTCAAAATGGCCGCCAAATCGGTAATTTTTTAAATTCTTGTAAAAAAAGTTCTACAAACAACAGGCATCTATTTTTTTGACATATTTTTCAAATGCGTGTTTGCTAATAAACTTGATCATAAGTTGTTAAATATTACAAAAACCCATTATACCAGATGAAAACGAGACTTGAACGTGATTGAAACCTCAGAAGAGTACATCCTTAAGGTCATAGGAGTGTATTGATAAACGGAAATAGGAAGTACATCCCTAGTTGAAAATCCAATGTAGGGAGACAATATCACAATTTCTGCATATTCTAATGTTTAATATTAAACTGATAAATATTGCATGTTTATTATTGACAGAACAGTGTGTTATCTCAATATTAAAATATTTCAAAGCTATCCAGGCATTAATTCAGTTTTTTTTATTTTTTTTATTAATGAGTCACATGTGTCCATTTTTCTGTACTTCAGGTAACCGGCTACCTATTTCACTACTGTGAAGTTTTTCAAGACAGATAACTCTTTACATGCAATTACTATGTGTACATGGTTTTATTATAAAACGTCAATTTTTAACCGTTTATAGATAATTCATTTTACACAATTTCAGCATTTATTAAATTGATATACATTAATGCAATACTAATCTATGTCAGTATCATTTTGCCTAAATTTGTGTCATTCATTTTTGTTTCAAAATTAACTCCTTTTTACATAAATTTCCATTTAAAATCCTTTAAATTCTGACAACCTACATTTTCTTTACTTCAAAGCAATGTAACTACAAAATTTGAAGAAATTCTACTGAGAAATGGTGACAAGATCCTATCACCTTAACAGAGATATTGAAATATCAATTACCACGGTCATACACAACTGTACCTGTCGCTTACCTGTAGTCGCTCACATGTGCGTCTACACACTCCGACATACCCTATACGCTACGTTCCATATACAAAAAATTGAAATGACCCATGTATTTGCTTGTCTGGGTCTCTGTCTCCACGCTCCGTGCTGGGTCTACCCCAACATGAGAAAGGCCTAATAGTATCCACGTCTAGGCAGAATACTCAGATATTGTCATTCAACGTATTGATTTAGACCCCTTTAATGATTTTTATCGATGCCTTAGATGTTAAGTAAATGATCATAATAAATACAAGCTAAGTTAATGCGTTAAAACTCTTACTTACAACAGAAACAACAATGCGCTCGATTCCAAGTCAGCTTGATTCAAATTCCTACTAGCTATCAAGAAGTATATGTGTAGCGTTCAGATTGATAGGGCATTTCATTATACTACTACCGAACTCAAATACTGCATCCCCAGCGTAATCCCTGCAGTATATTTTGACCATTTGGCAATTCTACGGTAACATTTTCATCCTCTGACCGTGAAACCAGCAGGTCATATTTGTTTACAGTATAAAATATTGTTTTATGTGCAGGCATTATCAGAAATTACGCAAACATTTGCCGTATAAAATATATGGTCGGACGCGAGGGGGATTCAAATTTCTATTAGTAATCACATAAGTTCATGAATATATACTTTCTGAACTGCTTTGAGAACTAGGTTGTGATAAAGCGTCTGGTATATTTATGTATTGTTTAACGTCCTTTTTACAGCTAAAATCATTTAAGGAACCTGTTTGGGCCCCATCCTCTTCCTCATCTACATCAATGACTTCCACGAATACATGCACTACCGTACACTGAGACTCTTTGCAGACGACATCATCATATACAAGACGACAAACAACAAAGAAGACACACTAAAACTACAACATGACCTTGACGCATCAGGACAATGGGAGACAAACTGGCTAATGAAATTTCACCCTGACAAATGCAGCATACTCAACATTACACCGAAATGCAAAACATTTACTATGACTACAAACTCCACAACCACACATTACACCAAGTAGAATCCAGCAAATACTGAGGCTTAACATTACAAAATAACCTACGATGAGACAATCATATTAACAACATTACAACCAATGCCAATTGGTACCGAGGTGTTCTAAAACGCAACTTAAAAATAAACTAACCACATACATGTATATAAGAACACGCATACAAAGCACTAGTCAGACCAAAACTTGAAAACTGCTCTTCCATTTGGGATCCACACAACACAAACCAAATTTAACAAATAGAAAAAACACAACGCAGAGCAGCATGCTACGTAAACAACAGATACCACAACACCAGCTCAGTAACAGACCACAAACTGCAATGGCCAACACTACAAACACGGCGCTTTCACACAAGAATGATTCTTTTTTACACAATTGAACACCAAATCGTAGCTACATGTATAAACCCAACATATACACTCACACCCGTAGAGCCTCGAACCAGACATGCACACCCTTACGCATACAAACACATATCTGCTACTTCCACACACAATAACACAATGGAATCACCTTCCCATAGCAGCAGTACAATGCACAACACTAGCGGACTTCAAGGCACACATACTCTATTAAGACCTTGAAGCCCTCATCACACGCTAAAACATACGCCAGCTTTTACCTTTTATCTATACCCTGCACAAAAAAAAAAAAACAATCACTGTAAATAACCCTTTTTTCACGCCTCTGTGATAGGATAGGATAGGGTATGCTGGTGTACTTGCCTCTTTATGATAGCGAGGCTCGGATGCCGACTTAATAGTGCTACGTGTAATAACATCTACCATTTTTAGAGATTTGGTATGTCCAACCCTGGGGTCAGAACCCATTGCCTTCTTAATCTGATCGAACGCTCAACATAGAGATCCCAAATATTGCAATGGATGCAGTAGATTTATTTTTGTCGCTTTTTTGTCCCCAAATAGAGGGCAAAAAAAGTAAATCCTCAATTACGCAGGGTGTTCCCTCATTAGACGCCTTTTACGATACACGCAGTGGACAACAGCAGGTGTATACTTTTCTCGATCTCTGACTTGCAGGGTTGTGTGTGTAATAAAGCGGTTATAAGAACCTCGAGTTAGTGTTATTATATAAATCATATAGTGAATACATACAATGTACAATAAAGTCCCAGAAACAATTTTCCGAATGCTGCATCCCAATATATTTAACGCTAATAGTATTCGAATATAAAAACACATACTCTATCATGGCAACAATTTAAAGAATAAACCTTTCACATACCGTTTATATAATACTCATTTCGTTTCAAAAATTCCTCCTCTAGTTGCTTTTTGGCTTCTTCAATGGCGGCTTTAGCGATTTCATAAGTGTCCTTTCTAGACGTTCTCGACGTGATGTCTATATCGTCATTGTCTTCAGATATCTCAGGATCTTCCTCTGCTGCCTCGTTATCCATGAGTTCTTGCAAGATCTTCTCTAACTCGCGTTGGACATCAGATGTCAACTTTGACCTCGCGTTGCCAAGGAAAAGGCAGCACATCAACAGCACGACAGCTTTAGATGGCAACATGATTTCTAGAAGAAGCCGACATTTTTGATACATTGTATATAAAGGAAAACGCTTTTTTCACAGCAAGAACATTGATCTACTCCTCTTGATTTTTAAAACAAAAATCAACATAATGAACGCCAAAATATAATTACAGTATGTGTATATTTATAGAAATTACCAAAACACCGAAGAATATATCTCGCTAGTACTTTTGCTCTACACGGTACTCTTAAGGCGACTTGAATTGTGACGTCATACACATAATGCGAACATCTATAAATTGGGATGTCTTAATATGATCACAATTAATGCACTTCCGTTAAATGCGTCAATAAACTAGGTAAAAGTTGAAGCGTGGCCTTCACGAATACCCCCGCCGCCCCCGGATATCTACAAAGTTTCAACCTTTTTCTTACTAACAGTGACAAAGATCATCTTTGGAAACCTGTATTAAATTGTATTTTAAGATTATTTTTCAAGATAAAAGGTCAAATTGAGGTTAAAGTGACCTTATAGCAGGATGGGACATAATTCCTTCTTGTGATGTGTACCTGTACCAAACGTTTGATGACAATTGATGAAACAGCAGCAGAACTATGTTCTCAAACCATTATTTAGTACTAAAAGTCAAGATACAACAAGGTGACAGTGATCAGGTTTAAGGATGCGACACAATTATCTCCCATGATGTATTAATATACAAAGTTTGATGCGAAATCAAGAAAAAACAGTTCAGGTATCATCCGGAAACCGTTATTTTATTAGTTAAGTAATTTACGTCAAGTTTAAACTCAAATGTATCTTTTCAATTCGTAATTCATAAGAGAGTGCTATACTTCGACTTTCCATGAAACTGTTATTCTAGCACTTCAGATCTAGGTCCAATAGAGGTCATAGTGACCTTGTTTTAGGATGCGACATAGTGCTTTTAATTGATGTGCCTATAAAAACATTGCCTGATATTTGCTATCAACCATTATGTAAGCACTTTAAGTCAAAATCAAACAATGACCTGGTCTTATAATGCGACACAAAATCTTTCTAACTTAATGTGCCTATAGTTAATGTAACTCATCCCAGACTAATAGCGTGTAAAAATAGTAACTCATCCCAGGCTAACAGCGTGTAACAATAGTAACTCATCCCAGACTAACAGCGTGTAACAATAGTAACTCATCCCATGCTAACATTGTGTAACAAAAGTAACTCATCCCAGGCTAACAGCGTGTAACAATAGTAACTCATCCCAGGCTAACAGCGTGTAACAATAGTAACTCATCCCAGTCTAACAGCGTGTAACAATAGTAACTCATCCCAGACTAACAGCGTGTAACAATAGTAACTCATCCCAGGCTAACAGCGTGTAACAATCCCGGCTATTGCTTATTCAATGGACGGTGTTATGGTAAAAAGATCTGGAAAGCTATAGGAGTTGTCTCCCCTTGCATCTAGCCGATTACTTTTGGTGTACGTGACAAATCGATATAATATTTGAAATAGAGTGCTGTCCCCTGTTTCAACCTCAATTTCATATGGTTTGTAACCAAAATTGATAATGAAGCCGTGACCACTTACGCCAAACAATAATTAAATAAATTCTTGTTCAAAATTGGTTTGAATAGTTGTGTTTTTTTTTTACCATAATAGTAACTCATCCAAAGCGAATGCCAAGGACCATTCACTTTTTGTTTGGTTTGCAATTCATTTTACAGCTTATCTCAAATATTTTACCATTCTTAAAAACAAGCATGCTATATGTTTCACATCTCGATTTCATGCACTTTGTCTCTCTGTAACGTTCATTAATATTGTCATCAACTGTTGACTTACACAGGGCACGTTTAATTATTATTTTTTTAAATGCGAGAATCTTGTCTTCTGTGAATTCTTTACGCGATTGGTCATTTTGAAGCAACCTATCTAAATGCCGTTCAATTTTTGTACCATCCAATAAATATTTTGTCATATTAGTGTTCATTTGCAGAAAAGCAATTTTCGTAGTCAAATGAGGAGGCTTTCATTTTTGCATGCTTAATATTGTAAAACATCATGTTCTGCATACATGTAGCAACGCAAGTTTTCGCTATGGTGTGACATTTACGCATGTTAGATGGAAAAAAAATGCACAAAGAAAGATAGCCCTAATTAACCAATATGATGTTAAAAAAGAAATTAGTAAATAAATTCAGATTGGAATTTTTACTTTTTAGGAGGCAAAAAATAAGTGTACCATACAAATTCTCATATTTTGCTTTTGTCTTACTATTTTAAATCGTTTTAGGATCCCCCTGGGTCAATTCAGCCACTCGATGAAGTGAGAGGTCAGTTTGACTGTTTAATTGACCAATGCACCAGTTCATACAATATCCGGACTTGGTTTTAAAAATGGAATACAATTTACGTTGAATGTAGGTATCGATAGCTAACGTATCCACTTGCTTTTATCACACAATGATTTATCGAATGACTGTGTTCATTCGTTATTCCTGTTCAAGAATAGATAAACCATTTACATGTAACTTTTAAAGGTGAAGTCACTGGTCATATGGTAAAAATGGTTTACACTCTCGATCACATGCAAAACGGGTTAACGGTTAGTCCAGCGTTATGCCTAAAATGTATCCGTAGTCAGTATGCAGTAATCTTGTTTTTCTATTTTTATTAAGGGAAAAGGTTGAAACATTACTACTATAACAATGTTAGATTTATAACAACCAACTTTGTTTTATCGGCCAAGTGGTTTATTTGTACGAAGATGGAATGCAGAGGTCCAAAGCTGAAATTTCACGCTAATAATTTTAGTGAGACGCAAGTGCGGTTTCAGAATTATTTCCACCAAAATTACAACACTGCGGTGTTTTTTTTTATATTATATAGCCTAGAAATGATTACAACATTTCTTATCTATCAAAGATCACTACGTTGGACCTGAACTAGAATGTTAAAGCATAGCGTAATATGCCATTTGTTTATTTTGCCCACGTTAAATGTATGGATCACCCGGACAAAACCATTCGTGTGGTCTGATATGCCATATAAACACCAGTGGGTGGCATGGTATTGCCTATTTATCTTCTCATTACCAGCAATCAACTATAGCCCACAAATCGCTACTTGCAATGCATTGATGTCTAGCCAGCAGAGAAAAACATAAAAATGTTATAACATCTTTATCACGAGTTTTTGTAGTATGCTAAAATATGACACCTTACCTTGCCTTGCTCCGAGCCTTTTTGAGTCAGGGTGCCTCCTTTTCCACGCTGCCGCCAAGTACCGCTTACGCTCCTTATATAGGCAGAATACCCGGAGCTTATCTGGTTACACAAGTGGTCATGTGATCTACCCGGTCGCGTGATCAGACATCTTCCCACGTAGGAAATATGATATCTCTACTTCCTTATTACAAAAGCTGGCGTCAAATTCTTATTTGGCAAGCTGTACCTGATACTGAATTTTATAGGTGCAATATCATGGTAGACTCTTCTGAAATAGTTTACAGTCCCTGCAGTTTGCCATGATCTTGATGGTTACAGATACATGTATCTATTTTGAGTAGTAGCAGGGTCCATAATATACCCACTCACAGTTGTGTGACCGCACAACGCACCTACATCGTGCACACACCGACCGCACGTCGTTCACACATGGTGCACAACTGCCGTTTAAACATTCGTTCGCCCCGTTGTGCGCTTTTTCTCCGCACAACTGTGCGATTTGGAACAATTTGTTGATCAATATGACGGAATGAAAAAAATACGGAAGGCTCGTATGCAATAATGTACACTGTATATATAACTGTAATTTCTTATCACAATAATTAAGATTATTTACAATTTTACAACGCTTGTTAGACAGTGTTACAGTGACCGTTAGACTGTCAAGAATGGGTTTAGCTCCTTGGTAACAGAACAGGTAAATAACAATTTGATGAGTGACTGGAGTTTGATGAGTAACCTGAGTTTTACCTGGCCTGTGCCTGACACATAGAGCTGATATGTGACACCGTTATGAAAACACACCTGGATGTTGAGTATTTGTTATTTGCATTCTTTTTGGTCTATAGCTCCCCTTCACCTGGTGTTCACACCTTGGCGCGTTACGTAAGTGCCCCGGGCGGGGGATAACTACGGTCCAGGTCCAGGTACAAAGTGGCTATGTTTACCTGTTTTGCCGAGACTGTGTTGTAATTTTACATGTGTCGATTTAGGTTGTAACACCGTAAAACACCCTTTCTAAATTTAAGAAAGTATAGAGAGAAAGATAAGCTTACAGATGAAGCTTGAATATAGACACGTACATGAACTAAATATTCAAGTTTATTTGTTTAAACACATGCACGATTGTCGAAACCGTATATATTGTTAAGACATTCCTCAATTTACACCAAACACAATTGTTATCGCACAACGTTCGCCCATCGTCCGCACAAATGTGCGCAAGCAATGATCGGTATTTTTTATCGTTTGCACTTCGTGCACACATCGTTCACACACCGTGCACACATCGTGCGCACACCGCACATCGTGTAACGTTGTGCGATCCCACAACTGTACAGTAAAAGTCATGTGATTGCAGTACTCGGGTATTACAGTACACGTCATGTGATTGCAGTGCTCAGGTATTACAGTACAAATGACGTGGTGGCAGTATTCAGGCATTACAGTAGAGGTAATATGATGGCAGCATAGGGGTATTACAGTACAGGTCATGTGATGACTCACGGGTTTTATAGTACAGGTCATGTGATGACAGAACTCGGTTATTACAGTACAGGTCATGTGATTGCAGTACTCGGAAATTACAGTAGCAATCATGTGATTGCAGTACTCGGGTAATACAGTACAGGTCATGTTATGGCAGTACTCGGGTATAACAATACAAATCATGTGATTAGAGTACTCGGGTATTACAGTACAAGTCATGTATTGGCAGAACTCCGGTATAACAGTACAAGTCATGTGATAACAGTACTCGGGTATTACAGTACAAGTCATGTATTGACAGAACTCCGGAATAACAGTACAAGTCATGTGATGGCAGTACTCGGAAATGCATTTCAAGTCATGTGATGGCAGTACTTGGAAATACATAACAAGTCATGTGATGGCAGAACTCGGGTATTACATTACAAGTCATCTGAAGTCAGCACTCGGGTATTACAGTACAGGTCATGTCATGTCAGTATTCTGGTATAACAGTATAGGTCATGCGATTTTAGTACTCGGGTATTACAGTAAAAGTCATGTGATTGCAGTACTCGGATATGACCGTACTAATCATGCGATTGCAGTACTCGGGTAATACAGTACAGGTCATGTGATTGCAGTACTCTGTTTTACAGCAAAAGTGATGGCATTGCTTGGGTATTACAGTACAAATCATATGATAGCAATACTCGTGTATTATAGTACAGGTCATGTGATTGCAGTATTCGGGTATTACAGTACAAATCATTTGATGTCAGCACTCAGTTATTACAGTACAGGTCAAGTGATGTCAGTATTCTGGTATTACAGTGCAAGTTATGTGATGTCAATAATCGGGTATTACAGAACAAGTCATGTGATGGTAGTACTCGGGTATAACAGTACAAGTCCTGTGATTGCAGTTTTCGGAAATACAGTACAAGTCATGTCATGGCAGTACTCGGGTATTACAGTACATGTCTTATGATGTCAGCACTCGGGTATTACAGTACAGGTCATGTGATGGCAGTACCCGTCAATACAGTACAAGTCATGTGATGGCAGTACTCGGAAATGCATTTCAAGTCATGTGATGGCAGTACTTGGAAATACATAACAAGTCATGTGATGGCAGAACTCGGGTATTACATTACAAGTCATGTGATGGCAGAACTTCGGTATTACATTACATTTTTTGGTGATGTCAGGAATCGGGTATAACATTACAAGTCTTGTGAAGTCAGCACTCGGGTATTACAGTACATGTCATGTGATGTCAGTACTCGGGTATAACAGTACAAGTCATGTGATGGTAGTACATGGAAATACATTTCAAGTCATGTGATGGCAGTTCTCGGGTATTACAGTAAAAGTCATGTTATTGCAGTTCTCGGGTATTACAGTACTAGTACAAGTAATGTGTTTGCAGTGCTCGGGTATTACAGGAAAAGTCATGCTATGGCAGTTCTCGGGTATTACAGTACTGGTCATATGATGTCAGTACTCGGGTATAACAGTACAAGTCATGTGATGGTAGTACTTGGAAATATATTACAAGTAATGTGATGGAAGTTCTCCGGTTATACAGTACAGGTCATGTGATGGCAGTACTCGGGTATTACAGTACAGGTCATGTGATGTCAGTATTCGGGTATAACAGTACAAGTCATGTGATGGTAGTACTTGGAAATACATTACAAGTCATGTGATGGAAGTACTCCGGTTATACAGTACAGGTCATGTGATGGCAGTACTCGGGTATTACAGTAAAAGTCATGCTATGGCAGTTCTCGGGTATTACAGTACTAGTACAAGTACTGTGTTTGCAGTACTCAGGTATTACAGGAAAAGTCATGCGATTGCAGAACTCGGGTAATACAGTACTGGTCATATGAAGTCATTACTCGAGTATAACAGTACCGGTCACGTAATGGCAGTGATCGGGTAATACAGTACAAGTCATGTGATGTCAACGCTCGGGTATTACAGTACAGGTCCTGTGATGTCAGTTCTCGGGTATTACAGTAAAAGTCATGTGATTGCAGTACTCGGATATGACCGTACCAATCATGCGATTGCAGTACTCGGGTAATACAGTACAGGTCATGTGATCGCAGGACTCTGTTTTACAGCAAAAGTCACGTGATGGCATTGCTCGGGTATTACAGTACAAATCATGTGATTGCAATACTCGTTTATTATAATACAGGTCATGTGATGGCAGTATTCGGGTATTACAGTACAAATCATGTGATGTCAGCACCCAGTTATTACAGTACATGTCATGTGATGTCAGTACTCTGATATTACATACAGGTCACGTTATTGCAGTGCTCAGGTTTTACAGTACAAATGACGTTGTGGCAATACCCAGGTATTACAGTACAGGTAATGATGGCAGTGCTCGGGTATTAGAGTGCAGGTCAAGTGATGTCAGCACTCGGGTAATACAGTACAGGTCATGTGATGGAAGTACGTGGGCTTTACAGTACAGGTCATGTGATGGCAGTACTCGGGTATTACAGTAAAAGTCATGTGACTGCAGTATTCCGAAATATAGTACAAGTCATGTGATTTCGGTACTCGGGTATTACAGTAAAAGTCAATTGAAGGCAGTACTCGGGTATAACAGTACAAATCAGGTGATTGCAATACTCGTGTATTAGTACTCGGGTATTACAGTACAAATCATTTGATGTCAGCACTCAGTTATTACAGTACAGGTCGTGTGATGGAAGTACTCGGGTATTACAGTTAAAATCATGTGATTGCAGTACTCTGTTTTACAGCAAAAGTGATGGCATTGCTTGGGTATTACAGTACAAATCATTTGATGTCAGCACTCAGTTATTACAGTACCGGTCAAGTGATGTCAGTATTCTGGTATTACAGTGCAAGTTATGTGGTGTCAATAATCGGGTATTACAGAACAAGTCATGTGATGGTAGTACTCGGGTATTACAGTACAAGTTATGTGATGGTAGTACCCGAAAATGCATTACAAGTCATGTATTACAGTACAAATCATTTGATGTCAGCACTCAGTTATTACAGTACAGGTCGTGTGATGGAAGTACTCGGGTATTACAGTAAAAGTCATGTGATGGCAGTACTCGGGTATTACAGTACAAGTCATGTGATGGTAGTACCCGAAAATGCATTACAAGTCATGTGATGGCAGTGCTTGGAAATACATTACAAGTCATGTGATGGAAGTACTCGGGTTATACAGTACAGGTCATGTGATGGCAGTACTCGGGTATTACAGTAAAAGTCATGTTATTGCAGTTCTCGGGTATTACATTACAAGTAATGTGTTTGCAGTGCTCGGGTATTACAGGAAAAGTCATGCGATTGCAGTACTCGGGTAATACAGTACTGGTCATTTGAAGTCATTACTCGAGTATATGACGTCAGTACTCGGGTATAACAGTACATGTCTTGTGATGTCAGCAGTCGGGTATTACAATACAAGTCATCTGATGTACTGGTCATATGAAGTCATTACTCGAGTATATGATGTCAGTACTCGGGTATAACAGTACATGTCTTGTGATGTCAGCACTCGGGTATTCCAGTAAAAGTCATGTTATTGCAGTTGTCGGGTATTACATTACAAGTACTGTGTTTGCAGTGCTCGGGTATTGCAGGAAAAGTCATGCGATTGCAGTACTCGGGTAATACAGTACTGGTCATTTGAAGTCATTACTCGAGTATATGACGTCAGTACTCGGGTATAACAGTACAAGTC